CACAGATGACACATAGCTGCCAACGCTCGGACTTTACAGGCTGGCCGGGGGCAAAAGGAGCGCATTTACAAGTACATCCCAGTGGGGCGGTCAGTGGGAAGGTGTGCTGTGGCAGGTGATGAAACTAGCAGGAGCTTTTAGGAAAACAGGAAATATAAAAGTCGGCGTTCTCACATACAAAATTACTACAGATAAACAGATTAAAAAAGCAAACTTTCAGATAACTCAGTACTGTTCCTCCCTGGAGGTGTTGCACTTTTTTGTCCAAAGTTTTTATATTCTTAGCCTGGAGCAGGTTTTTAAGGCTCCTCTGAGTATTGTTTAGCGTTATAAGTTAATAGATATTTAAATAATCCAAATTAATACAACATTAGTGTTTGAAGGATAATGAGTTAAAGATATATATGCCTTTTTTGAGGAATCAGACAACTTTTTATCATTTCAGGCAGGAAATGTAACCAATGGATTCCCTTGTTACGGGGTATTACTTTAGCTTCAGAACTATTGCAGTTATGTTTGAAACAACATGGCTTACAAATAAATTAATATTGAAGAAAAGTACATCAAGTTTTTTATTGCTATAGGACATTAGGAAAAAGGGATTTTAGACAAACAACTTTATTTTTAGTATTTCTACTTTCAGAAAAACAAAAATTAAATGAGAAACCTATCAAAGTCGGCTTTTTCTGTGAAAAATAATTGTATGATCATCATTTCTGGCATTGCTTGCACCTGTGAACATTCAGCCAAGAACAATGGACTACACTATATCACACCTTTGATTTTTTCCTCATAAATACTGTGATGTTTATGTCCCAGAATTAAGCTGAAAATGCATTACAGCAATGCTATTGATCTGTAACCAAGATGCTGCTGATGTGTTTGAGGTTATTCTCCTGAAAAACGGACAAGACCCCCATGTAAATGCATTCTAGATCAGCAGTCCCCAACCTTTTTTGCACCACGGACCGCTATATGTCAGACAATATTTTCACGGACCGGCCGGCGGATGGGATAAGATCAAGTAAAATGAAACGACTATCATAAAATCAAATACAAACAGCATAAAAATTAAAACAACAAGCCGGTCCCATCTAGGCGTAATCGGAGAAAATGACAGACGAAGTGTGCTCCTGATGTCCAGTCTGCTCCGTAGCTTTGTTTTGGTCGCTGTAACCGCAGAAAATCCCGCTTCACAAAGATAGGATGTTATAGATAGGATGAGTCTTAACCTGTGTCAAGAGGCACAGATGCACCGACTGAAGTAATTGGGAGAGAATACCGCAATTTTGTATATTTTTCAAAATAAAACATCACTCAGACTCTGATTGTCGATAAATTATATATGTATATATATATATATATATATATATATATATATATATATATATATATATATATATATGTATATATTAGTGTTGCACCGATACCGATACCAGTATCGGACGGGGCCCCGATACTGCCCTAAAATGGTGGTATCGGTATCGGCGAGTACCAACAAATAGGGCACCGATACCATTTTGAGAGCCATAAGTTTATTCAACTATTGTCACCCATTCCAGGTAGGCAATAAAAACTTTTTATTTTTATTATCCAGTAGAACTTTTTATTAAAAAGTTCTACTGGATTCACTTTGTATTAGATTTTCTCCTGCTTCACAAAGGTAGGCAGCGGCTTGACAAAGCCATGATGGCAATTATTTTACATTATTTTATTATTTTACATTATTATGGTATATATATATATATATATGTATGTATATATATATATATATATATATATATATATATATATATATATATATATATATATATATATATTACAGAAGAGGATTAGGGCCACTGAAAAAAAAAAAAAAAAGTTAACAGATTTTTCTTATTTTATTTCAGAATACTATGGGAAAAAAGACTTTAATCTCAGAATTCTGACTTTTTTCTCAGAATTCTGACTTTAATCTCAGTCTGACTCTGACTTTAATCTCAGAATTCTGACTTTAATCTTAGAATTCTGACTTTTTTCTCAGAATTCTGACTTTAATCTCAGAATTCTGACTTTTTTTCTCAGAATTCTGACTTTTTTTATTGTCAGATTTCGGTCAGAATTCTGAGATTAAAGTCAGAATTCTGACTTTTTTTTTTCAGTGGCCCTAATCCTCTTCCGTAATATATAAATATATATATATATATATATATATATATATATATATATATATATATATATATATATATATATATATATATATATATATATATATATATATATAAATATATATATATATAAATATATATATATATACATACATACACACCACGGAACGTGGTTGGGGACCGCTACACAAAAAGATATCGTCGCCGGGTCAGCTTCGTGGATAAATACGAGTTCTCGGAGGACCGAGAGAATATACAGCTCTGGTGGCGCAGTAGTTAGCACGCAGGGCGTCAGTGTTTTCTTTATGTGATCGACGCCGGTTCGAATCCCACTTGCCGCCCTTTACCGCATGGCCCTCCCCGTCTCTCGTACCCACTTTAATACCATCCTCTGTAAAACACGGGGCAAATAGTTTTAGGTTAAATGGTGGATATAGGGGCTCCATAGATTCGGCGGCTTCAGGCTCCTGGTTGGCCGGCACAGCAAATCTATTTTTGGGCTACAGTTCCCCACCGTCTCGGTCCTCCAACACTGTAATAAGACCGAGTCGCCAGAGAGCTGCTGCCCGAAAACAGGCTACCTGTGCCGGCCACAGAGGAGGCTGAAGCTGCCGAATCTGGGGGAGCGCCCCACCCCCCTTCCGTGAACATAAAATAATAAAAAGTTCGACAAAAAAAAACGCAGTCTGATGTTTTTATTTCATTTCATTCAACAAAAGTATGCTTGACTTTCAACATTTTTATGCAAAATGTATGACTCCGATGTGGATCCATACAAAATCCCCACATTTTTTTCTGATGAGTCACACCTTACTCCAGTTTAGATGGGCCAAGTTTCACAGGCCTGCCAAACTTCCAACTATTAACGTACCTTGCTTCCCTAGTTATGGCTGCCTATAAGCCTGTCTGTAGGTCAGACATATGCCCCCTGCTGGTCAAATTTAAATATTACATGCGACTTTCATCGAATCAAACGAGCAATTAATAGTGAAGATCTTTATGAGAACACCCTGGATATTGTTATTGATATCGTATTCATAAGAAAATCCAGCATTCTATTTAAGTGATATTAATAATATATCAACATATCATATTATTAATTTTACAGTTTAATTCAATTTACAAGGTCACATTTAATAGGAGAAAAATTGACTGAAAGAAAATGGAAAAAAAGCAGAGGGAAAACCGAAAAAAGGGGAAAACAACAAGATATCAGAAAAGCAAGTCAGAGAAAGAAACCAAAGGTTACAGAGACTGCTGGCCAAAGGAACCAATGACATTCCTTTGCCCAAATATATACCGGAAAGAATATAATTCAGCCTTTATGATTCTTCAAACGCAGACTTGGGGATTGTTTCACCATGACCAACCAATTCCAAATAAAGTCCATATCAGTGACTCACAATTTAGTTCAGAAACCTTTGTACTTAGAGGAGAATGTAGAAGCAGTATAAATTGGATAAAGGATGCAGAAAAAGTAATGGAAGTTCTTAAGAACTGCTTTATGATTTGTTCAGGAAAGGATGTCATAAACGTCATCCGTCACTATGCAAAAGATGGAGAGGATAGACACAAATGCCTGATGATCAACGACTGGATTTTTGAAGTTGATCCTGCAAGTCTGTATGTGTACCCAATTGGAAAAAGAGTGATCGCAACAGATGACGAGCACAAAATCAAAAAACTGATTGTCGAAGAGAACAAAAAAAACAGAGAAAGTTACAAAAATATTCAAGAAAATATTTCAAAAGAGAAAAGAAAGACCTTTGGCTTCTTTGTTGATAAAGTGTTTATCGGGCAGAACACAACAAAAAACTTTCACGACGTATTTTTCTTTACCTGGTATTTTCTTGCTTCAGTTATATCTGAATCTGCAAGAAATTTTCGAACTTTTGCATTGATTCTGATGGCTTTGGACATGGAAAAGGGATATATGGAGAAACCAGATTTTTGGTTCGATGAACATCCCATGGCCAGAGGAGGCAGCTGGATTGACCCAAAGAAAAGAGGATTTGGTGGCTCAGCAGCTCCTTCTTCTGAAAATATGACCACAATGCAGAAAAATAGACTTGTTCAAAATTTAGAAAAAGAGTATGCCATGTTCAAAGCATGGCAGAACACTTGTGGCAAAAATGATGAAGTTGAACAGCTGGGGAGAGTTGCAAAGGAGCATGGGGTCTTCGTGGAAGAATCTGACCTACAGAAATACCTAGAGGACTGCACAAACTTTGTTCTCCAGGTTGCTGAAAAAGAGAAGGAGGAATGTTTTCAATCCGCCCTACATGAGATTCAGCAATGACTCATTGCAAGGTACTGTAAAAATTTTTTTTTACAGTATTATGAAATCTCTGTGTTAAATAATTCAGACCTGAAAATGTAATGTAAGTAATGTCATTATTCTCAAACCATTGCCACAGCACCAACACTGGAGATCTGCTAGAGCGTCCAGAACACCCTCCTTCAGAGCCCCTAGAAACCTGTTCATCTCTGCCAAAGAGCCCCAGAGCCCCAGGTTCGAGGCACTAAACAGCACTCCATCTGTGAAAGCTGTCCCCAACCAGGAATAGGAGGCATTCTGCCTGGATGGCAGCCAAGATGGTGAAGACTGAGAAGAGTCAACTCACGAAAAGCCCCAGGCCTAGACAATGTAACTAGGCGGGTGTTCAAGGAGTGAGTAGGTCAGCTGGCTGGTGTCCCCACAGACATTTTTTACACCTTGCTGGACCAAGCCACAGTGCCACTATGCTTCAAGTCAGCCTCCATCATTCCGGTTCCTAAGAAGCCTACCGGCCTGTTGCACTGACTCCCATGAGGTGCTTCAAAAGGCTGGTGAAAGAACACATCGTCTCCAGACTACCCCCCCCCCCCCGCATTGGAGTTTGCCTGCCAGCTGAATCGTTCCTGTGAGGAGGCCATCTCCTCCGCTACCACTACTGAGCCTGGCACACCGGGAGGAGAAGAACATCCAAGGTTTGGATGCTGTTCCTGAACTGAGGTGGTGGCCTCATCAGAGACAAAAATGACCTGGGCAACAGAGAGGAGGTGGAGCAGCTGGTGGGCTGGTGCAGAAACAACAACCTGATGTGGATAAGTCAAAGGAGACCGTTGTCAACTTCAGGAAGAACAAGCTTAGCCAAGCTCCACTGCTCATCAACAGCTCAGCCGTGGAGGTGGTCAGTAGCACCAAATTGCTGGGGTTGCACATCACAAAAAACTTCCCCTAGTCTGTAAACACCACCTCACAGATCAAGAGGGCACAGAACTGCTTGTACTTCCTGTGGAGGATGAGAGAGCCCACCTTGAGCCCATTCCGTGCATACAAGGACAAATGACAATAAAGTTTGTTTCACTCTATTAACGGCTCTTCTTAATTTAAGCCATAGAAAACCTTCTGATACTTATCAGTGTGTAGCCCAATGAAGAAATTCTTAATGATGCAAAGCACTGCTGGTTTCTTAGTGGGTTACACACTCATAAAAGATAATCAATCTTTAACCAATGCTTGGTAAGCACTGGCCTGGAAGCCTCCACCTGCCATAGTGAAATTATGAACGTGTTTCAGCAGTTGCCGTCTAAACAGCGCCTCTTATCTTGCGCCGTCCCTAGAGTGTACGTGTCATCTGGCTCATTACACTGTCACTGATGGACAAAGGATTTTATATTTAGATTAGACTATTTCCCCAATTTTAAACATAGCAGAGCAGGGTCTTCTAAAAGTCTTCTAGGCAGTGGCGGCTAACCAATGGAGGCTCTAGGGCACTGCCCCACCATCCCAAAGACCTTGATTAAGGGTCTTAATTTAAGACATACAAAAAATAAAATAAAATTATAAAATTTAAATATAATATAATATATATATATATATATATATATATATATATATATATATATATATATATATATATATATATATAAAAACCAAACTGTTTTCTCACCGCTCGTGGGGTGGTATGTGTCATCCTCAAGCTCGGGTCCTCTACCAGAGGCCTGGGAGTTTGAGGGTTCTGTGCAGTATCTTAGCTGTTCCTAGGACTGCGCTCTTCTGGACAGAGACCTTTGATGTTTTACCTGGAATCTGCTGTAGCCACTCTCCCAGTTTGGGGGTCACAGCCCCAAGTGCTCCAATTACCACTGGCACCACTGCTGCTCTTACTTTCCACATCTTTTCTAGCTCCTCTTTCAGCCCTTGGTATTTCTCAAGCTTCTCGTGTTCTTTCTTCTTGATGTTGCTGTCGCTTGGGATTGCCACATCTATCACTACTGGTATCAAATGATCGGTACCGGTCCGCGGCCCGGTGGTTGGGGACCGCTGTTCTAGATTATTCCTGATCCATGGTGTGCGATTAGGTCTGATACCAAAGTATGAGAAATTTCCCATGATGCCTCAGCCACTTTGCTTTATTGAGAACATTAGCTTCATTTCAACGTTTGAGGGTTTTTTGATATTCTGTATCTGGGTCCCAGAACCATAAAGAACCACTTCAGTGTTATCAGTCCAGCCATTGTTGTTCCATCTCTCTTCAGGCTGATATCCATGTTCTTTTTATATCTGCAAACACATCAGGAACCAATATAACCAGCAAACACAACAGTTGTCTGCCTTCATCATTTAATTAGAGCAAACCTTTTGACACTCTATTTTCTTACAGGAAGAGGTCCATTGCTTTTATTTTAAATGTCCCATTTTAGTTCTTTATTTAGTTAGACAATCTTTATCATGCAAATGTATGTCTGTTGGTCCCATATACAAGATTCTACCAACATCAGTTAATGATGGGGTTGGTGTAGCGAGCTGAGCTGCTAATAATTCAGCCACAGCTCAGTTTTTACTCTATATGTTCCTGTTTCTTAAGAATAATATTTTCTTATTGTTATTTATGACTTTCTGATTGTTATTTTTTTAGTTTTGGTTAGATCTTTGTATTAGGAGGCTCCTCTACATGCCTTTTAATCCACTGTGAAGGCCTTTATTTGGGAGGAGCTCCATGTTTTCAGAGCAACTTGAAAAGGTTAAATGAATACATTGTTCGGCGCTTGGGAACGGGACATGACTAAAACCAGGGACAGGGATCAGAGCATTCTGAGTTGAAAACTGACATGTGGTTCTCATTGCTGCAGTTTAGTGAGTAATGGTTGTGCACTGGTGCCTTAACTAGCCTCGGCCTTGCACGTGAGCCGATCAAAACCACATGTTCCAACACAATCGTGTCTGTGGGATCGTAAACTCGAAGCTATGGCTCAAACATCCACTCAGACCCCTTTTTGGATGCTTTAAACATTTTTTTCATCCTCTTGGCTGATGCAACGTAGTAGAACTTCCACATGGAGAGTATTTTCCCTGACTAAGGAGTTTGGGGTTTGATTTATGGTGGAAAATGTCGCCGAGATGATTTTTAAATAGTGGGGCTTTGTTTGTTCTAGGAATAATCCCTGACATGATGCTAAAGCAGTGATACATCGGAGAATAGAAGTTATTAAAACGAATTACAATTACAGCCATTTAAAGAAATTACTGTTTTCAATGGCTAAAGCTCATTTACAGAGTTGTTATTGGTGTAAAGAAATTTTTCTCACTGCTACTTTAATGTAGGTGAGTTTTCCTCTGCATCGTTTCTACATATCACTCCATCAGCATCTGCTTTACATTTCTAAAAGATTATTGCTTCGGCCTGCACATATATATGCCATCATGCTCTCTTTAGGAGAACACTTTTCAAACCAGAGACAGAAAATGCGAATTTACTGCTTCTCATGAACACATTTTTCATGGAATTCCTGTTTACCCAACCACTGTGCTTACAAGGTCTTTTACTTTAAATCAAAGTTTAATTCTTTTTATTGGAGTTTTTTCTTCTTTTTTTTTTGCAAAAGAAATTTCCATGTAAGAGGACACTGTATATGTTAATGAGGTCCTTGTCAGTAAAAATAGGTTAAACCATAACAAGGTAATTGTAGGAAACCTCCTGTTACTGCATGCTTGCGCCTGTGGGATCATAATGACTCCCACAGCCTTAAATGTTCTTAACATGCTTTTTCCAGTTCCTTTACTGACACAATATTAATGTATTTTTCTTCTTCTTGATGAAAATTTGAATCATAACCTCTTAAAAAGACTAATTTTAGATTATATAAAATAATGATAGTGACTTTCATCATTTTAATGAAAAAATGACAATGTTATCAAAATCATTATGAAAATGAGAGTTATCAACTCTAAATGTTAATGAATATGTTATACGTATAAAATCCATTTATCAATGTAATGTTTTGCATATAATTTTTTGCTTGGTATTATTATAGGCTATTTATTCCGACTCAGGGAAGACAAAAAAATATATTGAATAGCAGGTTATGTTGCAGCTTCAAGGTTTGAATCCTGGTGTCTTTCTGTGTGGAGTTTTCATGTTCTCTATTGTATGTGGATACTACTACAGTTCAGAAACATCGATCTGAGGTTGACATAGATAAATGGGAATCCAGTATTTCCTTATAAACTGGTGACCTGTCCTGGGTGTACTGCACCTCTTATCCACTGAATGCTTGAGAAAGGCACCACCATTCACAACTCAATGGAAAATAGATGATAAGTGGATAGATACCAATTTTATAGACGGAGAGTCTTGTAATATAGTTTTTACTTTTCATATTCATCCATTATCTGTAGCTGCTCTTTATTATTGAGTCATAAGGAAGGAGTGATTCTTATCCCCACAGACTGGCCACCAACTACATGGCTATGAATGGACGACAACACAAGAAATCTAAATTACCCCTGTAAACATGAACAGAGTGCGGATCTGTTATTACATAAAGCAAATTTGGGACTATGTAAATTGATTTCCGGGCCATAAATGACAAAGAAAAGCATCAGGAAAGAATAAATACCAGTTAGATAAACAGTGTCCTACAAATCAAGTCAAGACTAGTTTTCTTTTAAAAAATATTATGTTTGGTTTAGATATTTTTAGTTTTTCAGGCAGAGCAGCTTGCATTTTGTAACCTATCCATTGTATTGTTACTGATCTTAGATTTAAGTTGCAGAAGCCCCTTATATTGAGACAGTGATCCTGTAGAAGCCAATCACAGACCCAAATAGCTGAGTAAACTTAATAAATAATTTTTTTTCCAATCATGACTTGATTTAGATCATATGCTGAAGAGTTAAATCTGCTATTCCTGAAGTCTCCGGGCAGAAATCCAGCAGCAGCAGCTTGACTGAACAGCTGAACCTTATCTCCTGCAGCCAGGATGCTGATTATAGGCAGACTGTCGAGGCATGCACATACATCATGCTCTGTGTCAGAGACACCATAGCTGTGCATCAGCCTCAGCAGCTCAGCAGATGCGCTGAAAATGATTATGCTGCTCACCGTAATAGGCTTTATTTGCACTGCAGCATTGTTTGATATAAACTGCCATCTTGGCAAGGGCGTAGGTTTGATTTCAACTTTGGTAGGGACACTATTCTTCAGTTTCATTGGTCCTTTGCAAAAATATGCATGCTCTTTTTTATGCTTAATGTGAGCTTCAGGGCTCATTTTGTTTAAAGAGAACAGCAGCATTTCTTGCTACATTAATACAAATCTTATAAGCACTACATGCACTAGATGCTGTTTATCAATATTTAAAGCATCACTGGCTCTGAATGTGGAATTAGGACTTTTTCCACTTTGAAAAGGATTGCATTTAAATTTACCTGCGACTAAGACAGTGTCTGTTTAACCAAATATAGTCTATAATATGTGGATTTATCCTGTGTTTTCTTCTGAAGATATAGAATTGTGCAGAGGTAAACAGAGGTAAAACCCAATGTTATTTTTTTTTTATCTAATATGCTCTCTTTGGATCTGGGCTGTAGTTACTCTGTGTAGCTAATTTCATGTATTTTATCTATGGCTGAAACAATTAATCATATTAACAAATTATTTAAATAATCGTGAACTAATTTAGTAATTGATTAATTGTTAACTGGAGTATAGGGCCACTAAAATGTGCCTTTAGCCGACAGAGCGACTCACTTAGAGCAGGAATTATACTAAGCTTGTAAAAAATATGTAAACATTTTGCATTTAAGAAGT